ACCTTTAAGATGAAATCAAGGAAAAGGGGCTGGGCACTCAAATTAGGGGCCGAGAGGGGCCAAAAGTCTTCAATCGATAACTCTTTTTCAGTTAATATTTTGTAATACATTACTGAAGCAAAGATGTTTATCTCAACAATCTACAACTATATATAATCATATTCTTGTCGTATGGTACATAATTAGGGGCCACAAGGGGCCAGAATACTAAATCTTTGAAGCTTTTTATCTCAGAAGGAGGAAATACGAGGGTTGATCCAAAAGTTCGTGAAATTTCTTAATATTTCATTTATTTTTCAGTGGAATTGGTTGAAAATTACAAATGAAAATATAGACACTTGATGAATATTTTATATCAAAAAACATTTTAAATATCTTTGATAGTAAATTAATGGCAGTTGCCATAGAAACGGTTGTTTGGAAATGCGGGGGAGACATTACCGCGTTTATTATCATTTAAATTCTTAATTCGTGAAATAAGAATTAATCCGCCCTATGTGGTCTATAAAACGAAAATTATGTCATTATTACGATTGCTTGATCTTTTACAAACCTTTGTTTGAGAGTTTTACTGATTTTACTGGATATTTAGTTTATAAGTTGATGATTTATTGCTCATCTTTAAGTTGTCAGATAGCGTCAAAGGATCACTTCGTTATAAATAGGGATCTGACCTATAGGACCGGGCTTGGTTTTATTCTCTACAAAAAGCTTGTCGATTTCCGTTCTGATTAATGACATTAGGCTGAATACATATAACAATTTGTTTTTCCTAAATCTTTATTTTAGTGAGTAGAGATAGGAGGAACCCTTTCTATTGATTTTTTGAGTTTATTATCTCCGAATGTAATAATTGATATTTGTCTTTACTTCTCTTTGTGCATAAAGGTAATGTCTACTATCTGTGAAATTCTATTCTTTATGTCTAGGCTATTTATCTGTGGATATAATAAAAACTTGTCATTAATGTGTGCAAATTATAAAGTCCTAAATGAAATCCAAAGAAGTGCATTTACTGAAAACTTAAGCCAAAATCAGTGTGATTAAATTCTAAGGAATATATACAATTGAAATTCAACGCAGCTCAATGTTGCCAAGAATACCCGTATCGAGTAACACACAGTGAGTTATTCTTGTCCTCGTAGAAAGTGTGCTTGTACCGAGGTTTGTTCCGCCTGACTGACAACTGCACATTGGATTGTTACCATTTGATATCTCTTTTATTGTCTCTAGTATCAACAATGGGCATGCATAAAGGATAGATAATTGACGGAAAAATACACAAGTGTATAAAAAAAATTAAAATAGTCTATTAAAGGCGAAATTGAAAACTTTATAAGTGTTGTACCAGGTGGATTCGAACCCCCGACTTTAAAAAGAGAGTATCCAAGGTGTAAAAGGCAGCGCATGTATCAAGTGAGCTAGTCTGACTATAACAATAAATGGCATAAATTTAGAGCAGATTATGAAAATCTGGTATCCTTATTTTTTGTAGGTTTTTTGTGAATTTCGACCCCAGGGCAGGGGTGCCCCTAAAAAAATCTAATCTTATTATATTCCTTACATCCTAACCTATCAAAATATCACAATTTTATTTAGGGGCAGGCCTGCCCTGATGGACTTCAAGGCCAAACTTCATGCAAAAATCAATGCTTTAAAGGACAAAATGGCGTTTCGATCAACTTTGGAGGTTTATTGTAAAGTTGTAAATAATAAATTTTAGGTATAAAATACAAATTTGAAAAGTTTAGACATATATACGGTAGAAAACAACAAAAAAGATTGATTTTTTAATGTCACATTTTCCGGAAAATTGTTCTCTCCTATAGGTCAATTCTTTTGTTAAAGCGAATACATCCTTTCGGTCAAGTCACACGTTTTGTGAAAATCCCGGTATCACTCTATCTTAAACGCGTATATTATTGACATAGGCTTGGGAAAACTGCATTTATAGTTACTGGTTCTCAGGTGGCATAAGAAATTTAAGAAAAATAGATCTTCTATGGACGTTGATAAAAGGTGTGGTCGCTTTTTAGAGGCTCTGTTTAAGTACATATCCCCCCTAGACAAATTAAAAGCGTTAATGGACGTTGTCGGCTGCCGTACTGTTCTTGACATTGCTACTAAAATTGGAACATCATATGGAAAGATAGGTAGTATTTTGAAATATGAGTAAAAAATAAAGATAAGTTGGTGCGAGAAGATACCCAGGTTTTCTAGAGAAAAAAAAGTGGAGAAAAAGGCAGCATTTTGTAGAATTACGTATTCCAATTGGACATTAGGGTGAGATGCTTCTATAAAGTAACGTGACATATCTAACTTGACGTTATGTCGAAGTCTCCCCCGGGTTTCCCAACTATCCATTTTCAGAAAGCGCGTGTGACCTTATTGGTAATTGGAAAGTGGTGAAATTTTCAAATATTGTTGCATTATGACTCTATTTTATGAATATGCCTGTTGATTGATTTCATCAAATCACGCTAAAACTTTAGAAAGAAATTCCACGAACTTTTGGATCAACCCTCGTATTTTGATAAGTAATATTGAACAAAAGATGTTCAAAAAAATGTTCTGAACAATATGCAGCCTTTCATTTTTCACTAAACGTCCCCATTAAGGAGTTGAAGGGCTGGCCCCTAAATATTTCTTTTGCAAATATCTCAAAAACGAAAAACAATCTCTGGATAGTTGTTGAACAAAAAGTGTTCAAAATCCTAAAAGCTTTAAGATGAAATCCAGAAACAGGGGCTGGGCACTCAAATTAGGGGCCGAGAGGGTCCAAAAGTCTTCAATCGATAACTCTTAAGCAGTCAATATTTTGGTATACATTACTGTGGCAAAAATGTTGATTTCAACAATCTGCAGCTATATAAAATGATTTTAATGTCGTATGTTACACAATTAGGGACCATAAGGGGCCAAAATGCTAAATCTTTGATGTTTTATATCTCAAAAGTCAGGAATATTTTGATAAGTAATATTGAACAAAAGATGTTCAAAGTCATGTTCTTAACAATATGCAACCTTTCATTTTTTGCTAAACGTCCCCATAAAGGAGTTGAAGGGTTGGCCCTTAAATATTTCTGATGCAAATAACTCGAAAACGAAAATGAATCTCTGATAAGTTAATGAACAAAAAATGTTCAAAATAATCAGAGGTTTAAGGTAAAATCTAGAAAAAGGGGCTGGACACTAAAATTAAGGGTCGAGAGGGGACAAAAGTCTTTAATCAATAACTCTTTAGCAGGCAATATTTTGTAATACATTACTGAAGCAAAAATGTTTATTTCAACAATCTACAGCTATATATTATGATTTTAATGTCGTATGTTGCATAATTAGGGGCCATAAGGGGCCTAAATGCTAAATCTTTGACGCTTTATATCTCAAAAGTTGGGAAAATATTTTGATAAGTAATATTGAACAAAAGATGTTCAAAGTCATGTTCTGAACAATATGCAACCTTTCATTTTTTTGCTAAACGTCCCCATTAAGGAGTTGAAGGGTTGGCCACTAAATATTTCGTATGCAAATAACTCGAAAACGAAAAAGAATCTCGAAACAGTTGTTGAACAAAAAGTGATCAAACCCTTAGAGCTTTAAGTTGATTTGAATTAAAAGGACTGATACCTAAAATTAGGGGCCGTGAGGGGCCAAAAGCCGATTCTTAAAGTCTTTCATGTTCAATGTCTTTTTACAGATTATGGAAAATCATTATTTTAGAATGAAAATCTCAATCAAAATCTCATCTCATCTCATCAAGAATCGGACGGAAGACCCACTCGTTGCTCGCAACGAGATCGTATCTAGTTTCTATTGTGATTGTACCATAGTTAGACGGGATTTCTTTGTTAAAAGTGTGGGTTATCTGCACGTGCCTATCACCTCCAACTTCAAACTATCGACGATTTTCGCTAAAACTTTATAAGGGTTTGAAGATTATACATATTCTTCTTTTACTATGTATTTTTCGTTGGGGGTGTTTTTAAAGAATTCTGGTCTTGTCAGTGCAAATCAGGTGCACGATTAATAAGTATAAATAAGCAGACACACCCCATCCCTTAACACTAGAATCATTTATTAATTGTGCACCATGAAACTCATTTCAATAAAACAGACTTCTTGACTAAAAAGGATTTGAATTTACTAGAGGTGCATTTACCTCCTCCTTTTAAATTCAAAATATATATCATGAAACCCCCGGTAATATTCACATAGATATATATATTCAAATGGATTTTGACAAAACATAACTTATTTGGGAAAACAAAGAAAGATAACTTTAATTTTGGTAAGACGTGACTTTTACTATAAAAAATCAATAAAAAAAGGATAATATTTTCACCCCCGCCCTCATTTATAATGCATTGATATTTAACAAATTCATACCGTTTCCGGAGGGAGGGGGGTATTTTAACAGACAAAAACACAACTTTAAATGATCACACACCCCTCCCCCATTTCAGGGGAGGGTTTTACAACTAAAACAAGCGTATTTTACCAAGTAAATATATATATATGTTTAATTTTAAATGCGTTAAACAATAGGAAAATTAAAGGAACATTTATCCATATGTGGGCGGATTTATAGATATTAAATATATTTATTGAAATTTTGCATTTAACTACGTTTTTAAATAAATTAACGATGTCTTTGAGAGTAAAGTTGGGCTAGTTTGTATGCGTTTCTTTAAATTTATATCACAGATTGTTTTGAAAATGATTTTTTAACCCATCAAATTATTATTCTATGGGTTAAAAAATGTATTACCGAAACAAGTACTAGTGTCCTTGATATAAATATATTTTTTAATGTGATTTATTTTATATGCTTTTAGAAAAAAAAAATTAAATTGAATCAATTAAATTAAAGAAATGTTTGCAAATTTATTTCATGAATTGATGCTGACTTTATGATCCCATCACGATCGTTTTTTTAAAAGGTCTTGTTTCTCACATTTTGTGTTTTTGAATTAATTTAAATCGGGATCGGTATTCAACATGAAAACGAAAGAAGGAATGATCATGATGTCGTGTACTTCACATGTGATAGTGTTTTTGTGTTTGATTGTCACCAGCTTCTGCGCCAAAGAAAAAGAAAAAGGAACTGAGAGTGAGAAATGGAAGAAAAAAGATATCCGAGATTATTCCGATGCCGATTTAGAACGTTTATTTGACCAGTGGGAGGCGTGTACTTTGATTTCAGTTTGATCTCATCACGCATAAACATTTGTATACCTTTTATAATTTTTATCATAATCAAAATAAGATTGAAATGTGGGTGGGGATAATGTATGCATAAAATTTTCATTTTCAACAATAATGAAATGGTGAACATTATATATCATGTATATTGTGTATTCTCCCTACCTTTTGTTGTGTTAAATGTATAGCTTAATTCTGAAGTATTTCTTTAGAGGACGTAGCTTACAACCTTGGTTTGATGTTTTTCATTTCCTGCCTCATTAACATCATAACACTAGATGTTGTGTGACTTGTGTCAAACCTGGACATTGACAGCCAAAACACACCTGCTAGCCCAGTACTTTAGGGGAGGGGTGGGGTTGGTAATGATCATGTCTTTATGGCTTTACAGTTTTGAAATTGGAGGGGATGTGGGTATCAGACGTGTCGTTTGCAGGGACCAGACAGCTTGGTATACATATGTAGTTTCTATGTGTATGGGTTGGAATGCTTGTCTGATCTGGTGTGAATTTACTTCCCTGTTAGAAAATGCTGATCATGAGGAAGTTTGAATTAATGAACCTGTACACTGAAAACTTTAAAATTATTATTGATATATAGATCAACTGGGTGTACATCTATAGAGTCAATACCAAACAAGATAAGTTATTATTATTTACAGGACCAGAGAGTGAGAGACAAAAAGCTGGCTCAGTCACTATGGCACATTTTTCAATGAAGAAATTTTACATTTCAATCTTAGGCCAAAAATAAAAATAGTCTTGTTTCCTGCTACCTGACCTACCTTATATTTTTTGCACCCAAACCTAAAGTTGTTTTTTTTTTTTTAGTTTAGGGGAAAAAAAATCAGGAATTTTAGAAATTTCATGTTCCAAAACTGAAAAAAAATATATATTCAAGTGGTATTTCATAAAAATTGTATGTTTTAAATAAGATCACTTTCATAAAATACCACTTGAGTTGTACATCAAAAGAGACATGAAATTTGATTTTAAAAGGCAATATTGACATATGGCATGTTTAATTTGATCATGCATTGGAACATCTCCAAAGAAACACCGTTGGAAAAAATAAAAGAAAAGTAAAATAATTTCCCTACCTACCGTATTTTTTTCAGGCAGGTAGCAGGAAACAAGACTATTATTTTTTTTGGCCTTATGGAAAATAATTATTGAAAAATTTGTATATACAAGTAATGTGAAAAATACCCATTTTTAGTTTTTAAAAAGAATTAGTTAATTAACATAGACATTCATGTACAATGTTACAGGAAAATGATGATGAAGAATTACCAGAGGATGAGCAGCCTGAGTGGAAAAGAGAACCCCCAAAAGTGGACCTCTCCCAGCTGGACCCCAACAACCCCGAACTGATGCTGCAGGCCTCAAAGAAAGGACGCACGCTGATGATGTTTGCCACTGTTTCAGGTTACCTTACTCTTGTGATCCCCAATGCACCACACCATGACATTTATTATACAAGGCAATACAGATAACAAATACACAAATAAACAGAGATAACAAACGCACAAAGCAGCAAGTTATTATGTAGGTGAAGCACACACAGCAGCCCCTGACCACACATAGCTTGTCAATAAATTTATACAAGTTTACAAATGGTTACCCATAGTTGCTA